GAGAGAGAGAGAGGGGGAGGAGAGGAGAGGAGGCGGGGAAGAGACAAGTTTGCCTTCGTCTCCCGGAGGAAATTACCGTAGATAGAGATGATGCTTGCAGGAGAATGCATTCCCTGATCATGTGCTCGCGCAATTGCGGACTAATGATATTATAAATCTGAATGAACTTGTTCTTAATTTTGATAAGTAATAATGATATCTTCCTGGAGTTCGACGGGTGCTATCAATTTTTGAAATTTTCTCTTCAACGCGCCGTGATAGGCTACTATCTGAGAAGGGATCTTCATATAAGGATCTTCAATCTTAAATTAGACTTCAGAAAAATGCAATCTTCGACATGAATTATAACATAATTCATAATAAGGTTAATAATAAAAAATATATAATTTTATTAAACTATACTATAATTTTATTCAACGCAAGTGATAATAAATAAAAAAATGATCAAATATGAAGAGATGATATAAATAAGATAAAAAAAAAAATAATAACAGTATAATGTAATAAAATTACGAATGATGTGTCTGGCTTTGTGGTCATTTCCTTGCAGATGTTTTAAATATTTTTTATATTATTTTAGTTCTCACAATAGAATAGATTATTTTATTCTCACAATAGAATAGATTATTATTCAAAGATTGCGAGCATACTCTATCTAGAACGTAACATGAATAAAGAGTCTTTGGGTGCCCCCGGCTTTTGCTTCTATAAAAAACTGAAGGCGTCAATAGGCGTTCTCGCTAGTGAAAGTATTAAAGATTTACGTGGGAACACATGTGTTTCCAACAATAATCAATAAATTTTAAACTCTAGCACACAAACATAACTTACACAAGAAGAACGCGTTTTGAAGAATTAAAATGTACTAATTGAAAGAATTATTAAACTGTTGCTAAAATATAAAAGACTTTTGCAATGGCATCAAACTTTTGCATCAATTTTTCTCTTGCATCAATCTTCTTCATGTTTAAGCGTTCTGTACGATAAGTTTGATGACCGAACAAAATTATTTTCAGATTTGTATCCGGTTAAATTTTTAGATATTTCAGCAAAATTGTTCTTTCTGTGTGTAGGAAAAATTAGTTTTAAATTAAAAAAAATATTCTTCATATAAGCAAAATCTTTATTATAATCTTAAAAATTATAGTCTCGATTTGATTGAATTTATACTGATGCAAGTATTATTTTTGCTCAAGATTAACAATCTTTTATATGAAAATTATAATATTGTTATTAAGAGAATATTTATACTTGTATCAACATTAACATTTTTCTAAGAAGATTATAATATTGTTATATATAAAATATATAGCCTTGATGACTAATTTTTTTTCTACGTACCCTTTTGAAAGCAAGACAAAAATCTAAAAGACATTTAAATGTCAGAATAATTAAGACAATTTTTGGATGTCATTGCCGTCTTTTCTACATTATATTTCTTATCCACCGCCGTTTTCATCGCGAGATAAAGGGCAATTCTCACGCAAAATTGACCAAATTCAGATAGTCAGACGTCTGACGCCAAACGGAATTTAATCATGTGCCATTAGGGAAAAGTATTATAATAATAATAGTATAATTTCCATAATTTCTTTATGTCTAGCATATATTGTAATAAAACAAAGTTTAGAATGATTTTATTGGTATGACTTGGATCTAAGGACTCAGAATTAACTTGAAATACCTAGAAAATTTCGCGTTATCGCGACTTAAGCTCTTGGATTGGTCTTAATAAGCCCAGCTTAGTAACCGCGTCGCATATCTTCGTCCGAGTAAGCCGGGTTAGATATGGGCCTCGAAGACTCGCCGCGTTTCGGTTTGTTGAACTAGAGAAAAGATACTTTACAATTCTGACTCACCACCAGTTGGCTTGCGCGCCGCTTTGCCACGCGACGATCAGCAAGGACACGAGCAGATAACTCATTGACATGACGAGCGTGCGTTGCGTGCGGCGGTTCCGTGTGGACGCTGCCTATCTCCCTTTGAACTCGGCCGCCGTGAATCCCCGAAGTCGAATCTCCTCCGTTGGAAGCGAAGTCGCGAAGGAGAGGAGAGATTTACGTGGCGCGGGCGCGCGTGTTCGTGGCTCTTTCCCTTCTCAGCCTCGCATTCTTACATGCGTCGCCGACGACGTTCCGTGTTTCGCATCACGTTTTTTTCTTTCCGCGAACGCGAGCGATATGTATTTTGACGTGCGAACGTTGGACTTGAGATCCAGCCGTCGAACGTGCGTCGGATCGCGCGCGCGCGCGCACGCGCACGCGTGAGAAAGAGAAAGAGGGACGAAGCTGAGGATCGAGCGATCCCGGAGCGAGCAGCGCCCGAAGCGGATCGACACCTCGCGCGTCGACCCTTTTTTCGCGGTACCGAAAGAGACGCGTGCTCGAAAGACAGACGAAAGTTCTCTCCGACTTCGATCGTTCCTCGTCTCGTCTTACATGTTTCCGGCGACCGATTTGAACGCCGCAAACGACGCGACGCGATCGACACGCGGATCAGCTCTCCGCGAATGAATCGGTTTTCTCCGCTCCGAGGAGATTGGTTCCCGAACGAGAACGAGGGGAACAATCGCGAAGCGATCTGAGAAATCTCCTCCCAGGAATTTTAACGGCGGAACATTCGCGCGCTGAACATTCGAAGAACCGCGAGGCAAAAGCGAGCCGTTGTACGCGCACGGAAACCGCACGGAGCCGATGCGAGCGAGACAACGCTCCGTGAACGTTCGCGTACGGACTGTGGCCGGTAGTCACGAGGAAAAGGGCAACGGGGTTCTCATGGTGGGCGGAGCCGCCGCTCGTTCGCAGCTCGCCAATTGGTCGCGTCGCCGAAGAGCCTGCGAGGCTCCACTCGTGCTAATTAAGCATTTCGGCGCACCGGCGACGGGACGGTGCGAGCGCCGTACGCTCGCTCGCTCGCGATTCGTTCCTCGGCTCGCGCTTGTCTCTCCGAACGCGAGCTTTACGTGAGACGCGACGTAAGGGACCGTGACGATACGATATCCTCTGTCATACGTATCTCATCGTACGAGTTCCAGGTAGGAACCATCTCGAACATTGGAACATGAAAAGAACGCTTTTACTAAAGTGTCTAAAAATTTAATCAGATTCAAATTTGAAAATAATTTCTTGGGCCATTAAAATTATTCTATAAGTTGTATATAATAATATTATAAAAATTTTGAAAAATCTAGTAACAAATTTGAACATCTTAAAAAAATATTTTAATGACCCAACGAAATTATTTTAAAATTTGTATCTGGCCAAATTTATAAATATTTCAGCAATATATCTTTCCTTGAATGGATATTTAAAAAACACTATCCTATTCCTTTTTAAAAATTAACGTCGATATCACAAAGATATCATTGTTGAATGCTTCAATAAAGATTTCATTTTAAATAGATATGTAAATTAATGTGATAGATATATAAATTAATTAGAAATGAAAATTAGTAAAAAAATAAAATTTTTTCTTTTTCAAACTATTAAAGAACATCTTAATGCAAAATACTTCACGAGATACTTCATCATTTACTTTGATAAAATGATAAAAAATGCTAAAAAAAGTTTATGAAAACAATTAATCCTTTAATCTCGTAGGCCCTCGTAGACCTGCTCTCAGCCATTGGAGTTAAAGTAAAAGTATTTTTCATTCTTTTTATGTCTTATTCTCAGTTGCCATAAGCGCTATTCTCAAAGTAAAATAACACTGTTCCTTTTTAAATATGAAATGACACAATAGCATCACCTGATGATAGTATGTTTCCAAATCTTACAAAATCTAAAAATTATATCTATGTCTTTCTTATATTCAGAATAAAGAATAAATCAGAATAAGAAATAACTTCTACATAACTTCGAAATTAGTACTAATATGTTAAGTTCAAATTATTACAAGCTGCAAGAGTTAATAATTCATATAGAAAGTCATGGAGATAATCAATGATTTTCTTTGATGGAAATGGAAATAATATATAAAACTTTTGATCACGATTTTTTTTGTATTTTTAATGATCGATGAAAGGACCGTTATTAGCTTATACCAAGGAAATTTATATTTGTTTATATTTGTTATATTCAACATCTAAAAATAATGTTATATATAATATGATATTGACGATAACTGTGCGTAATTTTGTCGCAAGCAATGAAAAAATGCACAAATATAAGTAATCTTAAATATTTAAGTTTTTATTGTTTAAATTCTTCACGTATTTAAGTGATTTTAATTTAAAAATAAAAATTGAATAAAATTGAAATATAAATCTATACCTCTGAAAAGAGCAAATCTAGAACTGAGTTTTTATTTTTTATATTAATGTATGATTTCAAAATTCAATTTATTTATTTAAATTATTTAAAGAAATATAACGCATACATTGCATGCATTGTTATTCGAATATTAGGCTGACAATTGAGTTTCAAATTAATTGAAATAATACAATTGAAATCGTTCTTCATTACGATAATGGAAATAGGAGATTCTATTTTAGAGAAAGCAATTGTTTCATTAATTTGACTGTCAATCACAAACAGGATTGCTTAATTAATACTGATATATATTGTCATTCTAAATCAATTTATTTCAATGCATTTTTGCTTCTTCATGTATAAACATAGTTTCTCGTTTTCGAAAATTATAAAAATAATTTCTGTGTCACGAATTGTACATAACAATTTTTAGAGAAACAAGAACATTATAAGATATTTATAGATTTAATAAGTTATTATTAATGTAATTATAATGTTTTATGTAATTAGAAGCAACCTGAATAATAAGCTTTTGTAATAGATATTAATTAATGTCATTGCCTCTATTCTCCGACTTCTTTTTACATACTTGAAGAAGATATTTCAATGATTTCTAATATTTGAAATTCGGAATTGTCAGCATATTGTCCTATATATAACGCATAATTTGTAATAACATTGTGAGATTAAAAATGATATAATCTCATGTATGTTATGCAAAATAATTATGCGCGATAGTCACGGTATGCAGTAATGCATATTATATATATATATATATAATATTTATTACAGTTAATTTTTTGAAATAATATTTACGTTTTAATCGTTCGGAAATAAACAACGTTTCATTATTTGCTTGAAACAAAAAACATCAAAAATATTTTATATTCTCGACCTACAATAGAACGAAAAATCTTTGTTATCAATTTCAATTAATTATTTATCGAAAATATGCACATAAATTACGTATAATTCTAGGTAATTTCAATTCTAAGGCAATTCTAAGTAATTTATGTAATTTAAACTAATTATAACATGTATAATTAATTATATTTAATTAAAATCGATTTGAGTAAAAAAGTTTTACAAAATTTAGAATATAGAATAAAATAAATATTTAGAATAAAAAATAAAATTTTATTATTCTATATAACTGAAGCTGAATTTACTCTAGTAATTAGAATAGCATAAAAATCGTTTTATCTGCTGTAACGTTATGCTTTTTATTATATATAAGAATCTAATTTTTATACAA